ACTGAGAAGACTCGATCACTTTTACAATACCGCCGCGTCGAAGGCGAAACGTGGTACTCATACTCACGAAAGCTGAAGAGCAAGCGTCAGTTGTGACAGAGAAAGCGATGGAGCGAAGAATATTTGGCGCACCTCTTCGTGAGCGTATAAACAACCACCTCAAGATAAAGCTGGCGATAAATTCCTTTTCAGATGGTTCTTTAGAAACAAACCTGTTCCACATCAGTGCCAAGTTTCCATTGAAACGAATGAGCGAATCACGAAGCAAATAATTTAAAATTTTATAACTGACTTACCCAGTGGTGAGAGGCAATAAATCTGAAGGGGTATGAGCATGGACCTGTATGTCGATGTCAAATTGTTCACAAAATTCTACTCAACAAGTTAGAAGCACTCAGCCTGGATTAAGAAAACGAATGACGCAAAAAAGGATTAAAAAGAGCAACAATGATAATATGGAAAATAACCTTTTCGGGACTATATCGCCGAGTCCAATAGAAGTCAGAGTAACAAAGTTGAAATATATGGCCTTAAAATTTTCATCTTTTTTTACTTATTTTTATTATAACGAATAACGACGCTTCTAGAAAAACAGTAAAGCATTAAAAAAGTAAAATAATTTTTTTGAACTCTTAAAGCAAATGTCAAATGCTGCTAGCACAGCTTAATTGTGTGATTTTATAATTTTTGATAGAATCAAGAATGAAAACGCACTCTAAAAAAAGTCATCCCTGGCTCATAAGTGCTCAACAATAATGCACCAGTAACAACATAAACAACGAATAACAAGAATAAAACAATTGTTGGATTGGAGCGTTCCTCGTCCTCGTCCTCCTCATCCTCTGCTTTCGGATCTTCTTCAATCTCTTCGTTCTAAAATATATTGCATTTTTAAAGAACAGAACAGTAGTGTCGCACACTAGTGGTCAAGTAAAAATGTGCTAGCAGTATTGCTGAAAATCAACGCAAATATTAGAATACTCAATAATTCAAGCTAAAAAAA